GGAAGGTTAGAAAGTTGTTTGTTTCAATTTTTTACATGTTTTTTTTTTGTTTGTGTGTGTGTGTGCACGCGCGTGTGTGTGTGGAGAGTACACTCCTTTTTATATTCTCTCAAACTTTTTTCTTTAGCTGTTAGATTCTGGAAGTCAAGAGAGTTCCTAGGTTTCCTCACTCTATGATTCTTGAAGGTGGAGCCATTCATGTAGATGGAGAAGGTATCGTTTTTTAAGGAAATCATACATGGCCTTGCTTGGCCTCTTTTAATTGATACATTTATATTTGAAGAACATTTGGTTGTTTGTCTCTCGCTGATTCATTCATTCGTACATATATGATAACATGCACATGTATAGTTAGAGAAGAGATTGCTTAAATTTTTTATACTGGAAGCTAGTACAAAGTTGATCCCCCTTTCTTTATTCAAGATATTCAAGATGTTACAAGTGCACAAAATAGTTTTCAACAAGTTCCATTTCTTACCACATCAGCTGTAATTTGTTAAGTGTTCATAAGCCACTTTGAACAAAATGATACATATACAGAGAAATAGAAGAAGATAATTACCTGCCTTTTGGTTGCTTAGAATTGCACCAGAATTGTGTAATATAGCTGCTCCTTTGTTTTAATAGGCCTTGGTGTTAACATTCATTTCGTATGAATGAAAAGCTAAGAATATTTTGTAATAGCATTATTGGACAAAAAATTGACGTTGGGCAGGGAGGGAGGGAGCAGGAAGGGGTTACATTAGCCGAGGAATGTAGTGCCTTATTCCAACTGCTTATTAAAATCACTTTCATTGTCTACAAAGAAATGATATCTCTGTCACCACCGCCATAGGTGAATCTGATTTGGAAAAAACACCATGGATAGTTCTTGATACCCTTGGAATTCCCTCAATGTAAGTTGTACTGAGTCTAGATGTTGGGATTATAAGGCAACATTGAACTAAAAAAAAAAGGGATTATTTGGTGATTCATAGATCAGGCTTGAACTTTTTTGGAAACCAATTTTGATTACAATTTTTCTCATTATATTTATGTGAAAAAATACATTTTATTTTTTTTAAAGAAAAATTTTTATGGAATAAATACATTTTATGGATCACTTTAGATCATTAAATTTTATGTTTTGGAATGAAGTGACATATTTCAAAGCACATGTTCCCAATCTCCAAACCGAAATCTCTAGAATAGTAATATAATATAATCCAATAACACAAGGAATATAAAATCTATTAGGGTGATGCTTGATGATAGCTCACTATATTTATTATTAAAGGGGCCATAGGAGTTCCTTTCCTTCTTCTCTTCCAATAATGAACCTTCATCAATCCTCTGCTTATTGTTCTTCTTTTTGTAATGATTCTTTAGGTCATATTCTATTCGTGACCATCAACTAATGCATCACTGTATAGTTTGTTTACACAAAACACGTTTCACGACTAGATTTCTAGCTGCACCCTTATGGTTTCGAATATTGTATATTTCAGTTTTGTTCATAAATTGTTTCCTTCCTTCAGGGACTTGTCTTGCCACTGAGGAGTGCCTCTTGAATAAAAACAAGAACCCTCATTTCACTAAAGAGCAAGTTGAGGATGAACTTAAAGCATATCTTGGAGTCAAGAAGATTATTTGGTTGCCTCATGGATTATTTGGTACCCATTCACCTTGAATATTAAGCACACATGTATAAATATTTTGCATTGAAATTTGAGATGCCTTTCCTGTATATTTCATCCATATTTTTTGGTCTACCTGGCAATCTAGATATTTCTTTAATTTGGTTGGTCTATGTGGCTATTTTTCTCAACAGGATGATGATGAAGCATTCTCATGCTTAAAAATGATGCGTTGGTGTGCAATTATGCATGCGAACATGAAATTAATGTTGTATAGAGAGTTTCTGCTGAAACCGTAGTTCTAGGATTTGAACTTCAAATAAGAGTTTAACACTGCAATTTTTGGTATTTGCTGTAATTTTTGCATTCTTTGGGTAGGTGTTGTGATGCTCAGTAACTTGAATTGCAACCTAGTCCTTTCGAGCAATGGGCTCATGCCAAGTGCTTGACTTTTTGCATATCGAGAAAGATATAAATCATAGGGCTTTATTTTATTGGAAATTTCAAGCCTAGGCTGCTGCTTATGTTATATGGTATGAAAAGTTGTGTGTTCTGTTGTTGATACCTAGAACTTAGAAGGGATACAAATTTCTGAAGTTAAATATAGACAAACCTGATATTTTCGTTTCCCTTGTATCTTGTTATATATGCTACCTGTTGTTCATATCTTGCATTTAGCAAGTTAATATCTTCGAGGTATGTATTATCAATATGTCAATACCTTAAGCATTCTTGTGGCGTTAACTTGACTTTTGTTTATCTATTAGCTGTCTTCAAATTTCCCAAAGTATAATGTACATAATTTTGCCTTTAAATATGTTTTAATATATAATTTTTTTTCCCTGTATTTTGTGCATTTCTTGTATATAAGATTTCTGTTTTGTGTTGAGAAGGAAAAATCTTGACAAAAAAATGATGGCTATTTATATATTTCGCAAAGGAAATGGAGTAAGGAATGAAAGGAATTGCTATATGGACACTGCAGTCTTCAGAAATTTTGGGCTTGTTGGAAAACTCTTCCATTCTAAAAATCCTTAGAACAAATACAACAAAATCTAGTACTGCTTTAGTGGGGAATAACTTAACTCCTTTGTGATTTTGGTTTGAAAGTTTTGAAATTATTTAGGGGTTGTGGACAACAGTGAGAGGCGAAGGAATAGAGTTGGTAAGACGATTGCGACTACATATTTAGGATGGACCATCCTACCAATACTTTATGAATCCTGCTAATATATGTTTCCTAGTTGCAGTTTAGAAATAGATGAAACTGAAAGATTTAATTCTGGTACCATTATTTGACCCTTGGTCTATGCAGGATAGCATGCTTTGAGAGTAAAAACTTTATGCAAGGAAATAAAGTTTCCTTATCTATTGTGACTACATATTTATCTTCATCCTGTGCCTTCAGAATCCTTATCATCCTATCTATTTTCCTATGAGGATATGGGATCAATAATCTTGATTTTGACATAATGTGTACTAATTGGGCGTTGTTTTTAATAAAAGTTTGTATATAGAAGTTGCTAGAGTTACTTTCTCCAACATGTTTGTGATTTTTCCTGCCTCATCGTTGAAGCTTTTCCTATTGATTACTCAAGAGGAAAAAATAAAAAAGACCAAAGTTTAAGCAGGATATTTTTAGTGAACTAAGGCCTTTAACATGGTGTTTTGCAGGTGATGCTGATAGTAATGGTCATATTGACAACTTGTGCTGTTTTGTGAAGCCTGGTGTGGTTTTGTTGTCCTGGACTAGTGATGAATCAGATCCTCAGTATGAGCGATCTGTGGAATCCTTTTCTGTTCTCTGTCATGTTACCGACGCTAAAGGTAGAAAACTAGAAATTATTAAACTCCATGTACCTGGGCCACTTTACATGACAAATGAAGAGGCAGCAGGACTAGGTAAACATGATTCTTAGAATTTTACTGTCACAACTCTGTATCGGTTCTGGCTACTCTTTATCCACTAACTAAAAAGTAAATTTACATTTTTTGAGATTTTATGCTCATGTTTACTGAACAATACTGACGAAGATCAAAATTTACTAGTTTTAGGAATGTAGAGGCAACAGGACTAATTCAGGTAAACATGATTCTTAGAATTTTACTGTCACAACTCTGTATCGGTTCTGGCTACCCTTTATCCACTAACTGAAAAGTAAATTTACATTTTTTGAGATGTTATGCTCATGTTTACTGAACAATACTGATGGAGATCAAAATTTACTAGTTTTAGGAATGTCAATTTGCAGAACTTGAGGTCAATTTTCCTCCAACACGAGGGGAATAACGTAACCTAGTCGATGTGAGACCCACGAGAAGATGATAAATTGATTACTAGTGTTAAGTACTTTGTCTTTGATTTAATATTTTTATATTTTCTTTCTTTTAGGACTTTTAATGGCTTTAGTGATAAGACTCGAATTTTTTTAGGTATCTATGTTGGGTAGGAATTAGGATTGGTTTGTGAAAGTTTCCACACATATTCATGATTATCTACAGACTACACAACCTATAAATAGGCTCTATTGCTGTAAAACGAATTTGGTATCACATGCATGAATAAAATTAGATTTGATTGATGCATCTCCCTTCCTCTCTGTGTTGCTGTTGCTTTTTCATCCTAAATCTCTCTCTTCTCAGGTGGCGGTTCTCTTCTCCTCTATGTTTCTCTCGTCTTTACCTCCCCCTCTCTTCTTTAAAAGCTTCAAAGATTTAGGCCTCATTCCAAAATCCTTATACCAATGTAAATCTGAACATCAAAGAAGGTAGACACACCAATGCAGGGAATGTGAGGACCAAATGTGGAATAATAAAGACAATTGACAACTAGAAATCGAATGCTATAATTAATGGTTCTAAAGTGAAAAGGATCATTTGCAAACTGTTTATTTTGTTTATTTTTGACCATTTATAATAATGCCAAGGTGGTATATTTCTCTGTTACAACTATGGGAAGTTGCAATAGTCCAAAATGCCAAATGGTTTGAAGTGTCCAAATATTTATTTTTCTTATGGTTTTTCTACAGCATGGTACTATAAAAAGACAATTCTCTGTGCTTTTGGAGACGACTGCTAAACCAGGATTTTGGTGACTTGGGAAAAATATAATATTTTAGTACTCAGCAGGCATGTGACACTGTCTCTTCAGTGGGATCATAATATTTTATATAATCAAGGTTATCTTTGATGGAAGTAACAGAAGGAATGCTAGAAATTCTATATTGAAGGGTTGGTTCTTTTGTTTATTCATTTATTTAGTAGACCTTTTAAGGGACACCTTCCATCTTATTTTCGAAAATCAAACCCACAAAACAAGGAATGCTAGGATCATATAAATGTTAGTGATAAATGAGGGAAAATATGTCACTTCATCTTCTCATTATGTGAATATTGTGTTAATGCTTACAAATTTTCTCAGTGCATGTCGAATATCTAATTCTAGTGTCTGTCTGGATTAATTGGGGGTGAATTGAGATGATTCCCTGTTTACAAGTATCCCATACTTTTTGGGTATTTTAAAAATAGACAGTTTAAATAGAAAATATATCCAAAATGATGTGTTAATGATATTTATAAAAATTATGGGGACAACTAGGAAAAATGTGTTGAAATCGATAACAAGTGTTTCATGTTCTTGTTGTTTTGTCCCCTCGTGTCCTGGTTGATTTTCTTCTTTCTTCTCATCCAAAACATGATGCGATGGTCTAAAACAACTGGTTAGGTAAATGTCATGATTATATTAATGAAAAAGTCCAGTCCAAGTATTGACAAAGAAAAAGCTCTTTATAATATATTCTTAGCATGAGTATTTTTGTTAAATGTTTTATCAAGCTCAAGTTCAATTTTTTTATCAAGCTCCCTCGATGGCACATGCAAGGTTACTTAATTATGTTAAATGTTTCATAATAATATCTTCCTAGCATGACTATTTTGGTTTCTCGAAATGACTTATTTTCGTATTGTAGGTATGGGACTTTGTTACTGGAAGACTTTTACAAACTCGAGCTTTTCCACTATCAATTACTGCAATAGTTGTTGATCCAACAGAGATGAAGTTATTTTCTGGTGGTAAAGATTACTAGTGGATATTTCTTTTTTGTATATGGAGGACATCACTTTTGTTTGATTATCTGTTTGTATGGAATTATTATTTTAGATTGGATTATATTTCGTTTGTATAGAATTTGATGTTATAAGACCAAATTTTTGGATCGTTGAAGGTGAAATAGAAATAGACATATGTATTGTTTTGTTTATATACAGGGTGCAGGTTGCATGAAATAAATATAGGTTGTGCAGAAATTAATAATAATAATAAAAAATAAAACTAAATAAAGTTTTTGGTGACTAATGTTTAGTAGCCAAAAAAACAAAATAAAACTTGTTGGCTACTAAAAATTTAGTAGCCAAAAACAAACCAAAGATTTTTTGGCGACTAAAAATTTAGTAGTAAAAAATATATGAGTCTTTAGGCGACTAAATAGTTTAGTAGCTAAAAAAAAATATGAAAAGTAATTTTTTTTTGGTGACTAAATATTTAGTAGCTAATAATAAATGATAATTTGGGCGATTAAAAGTTTTAGTCGCTGAAAATGAAAATTATTTTATTTGAAAACTTTTGGCGACTAAATATTTAGTCGCCAATTTATGACTTTTGGCTATTAAAAAATATTTAGTCGCCAATACCTTGTACTTTTCCATACGAAAACATTACTAGCCATTTATAGGACTTTTGGCGACTAAAGTTTTTTTAGTCGCCAAAACCTTCCCTGACCGTTTTCCCGCGACAAATCTAGCGACCAAAATATTTAGTCGGGAAAAGGCTTCGGCGACTAAAAACCTTACTTTTGGCGACTAAAACTTTAGTTGCCAAAAGTGCATTTTCTTGTAGTGTACGGGGAGCGGGTCGTGACATGTCAGCCATTAGAGTTGCGGAAGGTGGAAGAAGAAAAAAAATGGACAATTTGATAAATTCAAA